ATATGCCTCACAAAGCAGTACAGGTTTGTTATTACTGACCACTGTATAGACCTTGAATTTTTAATACATTAGGCTTTATAGAGATTGAGACCATGAATGTGTATGTGGTAGAATGTTGCCTGAATGGCTATCAATATATTATTTATTGTCTGAATCCTGTCACTAGAATGTAAGCTCCCTGAAGATGTCTTATGGACTGAAGTGTGTTGTTGTGGTGGTTGTTGTTAGTTTCCCAGTCAGCTCCACCTCATAATGACCTTACGTAAGACAGAATGAAATGTTGTCCAGTCCTGTGCCATCTCCATGTTTGCTAGATGCAAAATACTGCTCTGTACATTAAAAAAAAACCAAAACTCACTGCCGTCAAGTCAATTTGACTCATAGCTACCCCTCCTTGGATTTCTGAGGCGGTACCTCTACGGAAGCAGATTGCCCAATCTTCCTTCTGAGGTGTGGCTGGTGGGTTTGAACCAGCAGCCTTCTGGTTAGCTGTCAAATGCCTTAGGTGTGACACCACTGTAGCTAGTCAGCTCTCAATAAAAAGTTGTATTAAGCATATACATTATCTCGAAATCTGTGTAACAATCTTGAGTTATGGATACTTTAATCCCATTTTCTAGATCAGGAAACGGAATCTCAGAGTCTGAGTCATCTGTTCAAGTGAACACAGATGAGTAAGTGGTGGAGCCTTCATTTACTCTCATGTCTGAGTGCTTCTGGGAATTTGGTTCTTTTTCAACAGGGGGCATGAGTTTCCAGAAATATGACACTACTTGAATGTAACAAAGCCTGTTCTAGCTCACTCTTTCTAATCAACCAAACCAAGAACTTTTTCCAACATTTTCTATAGCCAAATCATATGGCAATAGCATAAAAAATGTGATGCTTACACAACTATGTAAATATACTAAAAACACTGAATTATATACTTTAGATGGCTGAATTGCATAGTGTATGAATTATGTATCAATAAAGTAGTTATTAAAATAAAAATATTTGGGTTTGGTTCAGATCATATTTATCAGTTTATTTCAGTTTATGGTTCACTTTGGTTGGAGTCATGTGAAAAGACCAAGAAAAAATGTGGGAACCATTTCAGTATCTGACCCAGTGAAGTTATAACAGCTGAACTCTTTAAACAGTTTAACCAAACAGACTCACAAAGGCCTTCTCTTACAAGTTAATACTACTAAGGAACAAGAGATATGCTAAGTGCCAAAACAGCTGAAGACCACATGCCTACTGGACCATGTACATTAGAGCACTTCAGATTTCAAGTCAGTGAAATTTTTGCTGTTAATCATTGTTTCTAAGATATTTAAAAAAGATATAAAAAGTTGGCATTAGGGATAGGCCTGATGACCTGTGAAGGAAGAGATCTTAGTTAAAGGAGAAACTACTGTATAACTCTCCAAATCCTAAGAGTAGCCTTTCAAATCAATAAAGCAATGCACATAAAATTCAGGAACCTGGAAATATGAATACAAGTCTACATATATATTTGTGAATGTGTTTTTCCTCTTATTTATAAGACAAAACCACTAGACACTGAAGAGAAGTTCTCATTAGGTACTTATTATTCAATGTTCAACATGGTCACCCCCAAGGATCCTAATATGGTAAAAGAAGCAAATATTACAATTACAGTATTAAAAAATTAAATATTTTTACTCTTATGATATTATGTGCTCTAGATGAGTAATCTGAGTCTCTTGTTGTAAATAAAATAATCTAAACTCTTATTTTATTTGCTTATTTATAATTTATCAGCCATCTTCTTCAAAAAAATATTTAAGGTGGCCAAGTGCATGTGGTAGCAAAAAGACTCCTGGCTATATATTAACTAGTCTTTTAATGTCCATCAGCATCTTTAAATAACAGAATGCCTAGCACATGGCAGGTACTCAAAATATATATTGACATATTGATGATTAAATATATACAAGGACAAAGATAAAACTTAGGAGGCTGGAGGAGGCATATAAAGGGCACAAGATATTCACAGAGGACAAAGGCAAGATGCACATTTCATTAAATCATAAACCCTGAAACAAGGAGGAACTTCCAGACCAAACACTTTATACTGCTATTATTTTGGCTGCCCATTCATCCTTTTAATAATTATTTACTGAGGACCTACTATGTACTAGGCACTAAGTATAAAGTGGTGAACATTCCCCCTGAACACAGGGCACCTGTGACTACCCAGTGCCAATTAGAGTATTTTCCCCAATTTTTCTGTGAACAGAGATAAGTTAGACAGCCCAGAAACCCATGTTAAAGTTCCATCAGCCCTTCTTCAAAGTTTCTTCAATCCTGTGAGTTACTCCAGAATTTTTATAGTAAAACTCCTCTCTTTGCTTGAAATAGCTAAAATGACTTCCTATCACTTGCAACCAGAAAATTCTTACTAATATAACATTTATTATACACATGAGAAAAACGAGGTCTAGAGAGTTTAAATAACTTATTTTCCCTGTCTCACAGGCAGGCAGTAGCAGATTTGGAAAAAGAACACAGGTCTCCTGAATCCTAATCCCAAGCTTTATGTGGGTCCAAGTAAAAATAAGAATTAGAGGAAAGAATTGACAATATGGTACCTCATGAACTATGGGGCCCAGCAGGAAGTCCAGCCTCTGGCACAGTTCTCCAAGGTTGGATAAGCTGCTGGCCCTGTGAGCACTATCTGGATCTCTCACGCCTCTCAGGAAGGTATGTAGCAGAGGTTCTCGGTACTTTGAGACCATGTCTCCTGTAGAAAAAGGAAAGAAATAAAAACCTATTAAAATAAATTTTCAACTTTTTACAGAAGGAATAATGATGGTATACCATGGTATATGGTATGGTATTTTGTACTTTTCAAAGTACTTAAATAACCATTAGAAATCATGCTCAGGAAGAATATTTAATGTCAGGGAAAATACCTATGAGGTATTGTTTTGTGAAAAAGCAAGAATCCTAATTTTACTTTAAAAATCTACATAAAGAGATAAAACACTTGAAGAAGATATTACCCATAATATTAGGGAGTCCGATTATGGGAAAGTAGGGCCTAAGGCATTTGACTGCTAACCAGAAGGCTGGCGGTTCAAACCCACTAGCTATTCCTTGGAAGGAAGATTGGGCAATCTACTTCTGTAGTGATACTACTTCAGAAACCCAAGGAGGGGTCGCTATGAGTCAGATCTTACTAGATGGCCGCGAGTTTGGTTTTTTGGATTATAAGGAAATGCATATATCATAAACATAATAGCCTGATAAATTTTCATAAACTTAGCACAAGTGTCACTTAGCCCATGGCTACACAAGTATCAGGTTGTGGCTTCCAGATTAAACCCTAGTTATTAATCAAGTATTCTTCCTACAAATTTCTAATTTGCTCATCCAAGCTGCCTACTCAGGTGAACAAATTGAGTGAAAGGCAAACAAAGTAGTTTTGGGTCCTTGTCAAAGACATTACAATGATTCATTCATTCATTGATAAATATTTATAAGGAGGCCTACTATGCACTAGGCACTGATTCACATGCTCAGGATACACCAGCAAACAAAAGAGAGAAAGGTCATGGAGCTTATACTCTTTTGGGAGAGAAATAAATTTTATAGTATGTTAACAGGTAATGAATGCTATGGGGAAAAAAGTAAAGTAAGGGAAGGGAAATAAAGAGTAATGGAAAGGTGATCTGGGTAGGTGTCATTGAGACAGTGAGGATGTCAGCCACATGGACATCTGGGGGCAAAACATACCCAGAAGAAGGAACAGCCAGTGCAAAAACCCTGTGGTAGAGAATGTTTGAGAAACATTAAGGAAGCCCAATAGAAGAATAGCAGGAAATGGGGCTCGAGGGGTGATGGCAGCGATGGGGCGGTGGTGCAGATCTTATAGAGAGCCTTCCTTACAGGTACTGTAAGGACTTGGATTATCTTCCCTGAATAAAATGGAAGGCCTCTGGAGAATTCTGAGCAGAGGAGTGCATAAAGATCACTCTGGCTGCTGTGTTGAGAACAGACCATAGGATCACTGTGTATGTCTGGGATGGGAGCAAAGGTAGAGGTTAGGTGATATTGCAGTAATCTACTAGAGAGAGGAAGGAGCTCTGATAGCGTAGTGCCTAAGACACTTGACTGCTAACCAGGAGGCTGGCAGTTCAAACCCACCAGCCACTCCTCGGAAGGAAGGTTGGGCAATCTACTTCTGTAGTGATACCACCTCGGAAATCCAAGGAGGGGTCGCTATGAGTCAGGTCCGACTCGACAGCACGTAACAACAACAACAACTAAAGAGAGGATGGTGACTTGAACAGTAAAAGTGGTAAGAAAAAGGTTCTGCATTTTTTAAAAAAAATTTTTTATTGTGATTTGGGTGAAAATTTACAGAGCAAATTTATTTTCCATACATCAATTCATATATAATTTGTCTTATAACATTGACTGTAATTTCTCACAGTCTAACAGCTCTCTTCCCACATCCTCCCCATAGTTACCTCTTTCCTGTGTCCTTCCCTCCCATGCACTCCTGCTCCCTAAGCAGTCTCTCTATACATGCACTGACCCTTCTGTTCTCCCATGATTGATCTCTCCAAGGAATGTATCTACCTGATGTAAATGTTTAGCCCATATGCTGGTCTTTTATTTGGCCAGAAGCCACAGGAGTGAGTTCAATTCCAGACCTGAAGGGCAGCTAGGGGCATAGTCTAAGGGGTTTCACCAGGCTCTATCAGACCAGCAAGACTGGTCTTTTTTTGGGGGGAGGGAGGCACAGATTCTGCATATATTTTGAAGATAGAGCCAACATGACTTTCTGATGACTTCAAAAATGGCTGTCAGGAGTTTTGCTTTTGTGGTTGGAAAGGTGAAATTATTATCAACTGAGACAGGCAAGTCTCTGAGTAAAGCAGGTCTGGGGCAGAAGAAAGGATCAGTGCTCAGTTTTAGACATGAAGAGTAGTTACTTAGAGATTTATATGCATTGACATGATCTCCTCAAGACTCTGATAAGTAAAAAAAAAAATAATAAAAATAACAGAAAAAGTATATTCCACTATGTATATAAAAATGTACATATATAACTTCTCTCACTATTAACAACCAAACTTACAAAAACCCTCATCGATCGTTTCCCTTGCTTTCGCTAACCCTCTACTTGACAATGAAAAAGGAAGACAGAAGAAGAATTGATGCATTCGAACTGTGGTGTTGGCAAAGAATACTGAATACAATGTGGCATGCCAGAAGAATGAACAAACCAGTCTTAGAAGAAATACAACCAGAATGTTCCTTAGAAGCCAAGATGCTGAAACTTGGGCTCACTTACTTTGAAAACATCATCAGTACAGGCACCCGTTTACTGAATACTTAACCATGTAGAAAGCACTGTGCTAAATACTTTACTAACAAAATTTTGAGGTAGACATTATTATACCTATTTTACAGACAAGAAAACCAAGATAGAGGAGGGGTTAAATAATTTAGGTCCTAAGAGTAAATAAAGCCAGGGTCAAACTTAGGTTTGTCTGATTCTTAACTCCTATGCTATATTGCATTTAAGGTATTTACCACTAAGAGTGCACCTGACACAAGCCATGGTGTTTTAGATCACCTCTTATGCATGTGAGAGCTGGACAATGAACAAGGAAGACCGAAGAAGAGTCAATGCTTCTGAGTTGTGGTGCTGGGGAAGAATGCTGAAAGTACCAGGGACTGCTAAAAGAAGTAACAAATCTGTCCTGGAGGAAGTGCATCCGGAATGCTCCTTGGAGGTGAGGATGGCCAGACTTCCTCTGTGCTAGGCACTGAGGGTCAAACCATAAGCAAAGAGGACACGATCCTCACCTTGTGGCATTCAAAGCCTAATGGGGAAGAGGAAGCAAACCACCCAAGCAGTAACAACGGAGTGAAGTGTGCCCACAGAGACAGACATTTTTAGGAGTAATGTTTTGACCTGGTTCTATATCTCTTAGCAACAGTTGCATTATTATTTCATTCACCCAAACTCAAAGAGCCCTGAGTAGTGCTCTTTTTTAACTTCTCCCTCTGTTATCCTTCAGCCATTAGCTGGCTTACCGATTACTATCCAATCCTCATTGACTTCGAAAAATTTAATATGACTTACAATAAATATCAAAACCATGCATCATTAAAATAAGTATTTTTAAAAAACCTCTACCGTGAGAGGAGCCCTGATATCTCAAGAATGATTTAAGCAATAAATGCAAAATTTAGTTTAGCAATTTCTGGTGGCTGAGACAAAAAGGGAAACAGAAAACATAGCTCTCATTATTCAATATAAGAAAGAATATCAGTTCATAAGGAGAAAAACAATTTAAGGACACTAAGAAGTATCTCATATATTCATTCATTCAAGAAATCTTAACTGAAAACATTGTTCCACCCCCTACTTTGGCAAGTAGCGACTGGGATCTTAAAAGCTAGCAAGCTGCCATCGAGATGCAACAATGGGTCTCTCCTCATCAAGAACAAAGAAGAAAACCAAAATTAATGGAA